GGAATGAAGGAGTCTTCTTCTGAAGGACAGCCCCTTGCCTCACCTAGAGGGGAGGGGGAAATGGGATTATTAGTAAGATAGAGGAGGATCTGAAAGCCAAGAGACTACCTTAAAATTTTTTTTAAAAAGGAAAACTTACAAAAAAAAAGAAAAGAAAAGAAAAGACAGAGAGGCAGAGAGAGACAGACAGAGACAGAGAGAAGGCTACAGGGGCTCCGTGCCACTTGAGTTTAGGGGCTTGAGGCTGAATTATCAGTAGAAAATCTTCATTTCTCTTCTTTCCCTGAAATAACTAGTTCTCAGCAGCAATGGAGGAATCATCTGAAGTCTCCCTTGCCTCTCCACTTCAGTTTGGGGGCAGAAGACTGAATTATCAGTAGAAAATCTTCATTTCTCTTTTTTCCCTGAAATGACTAGTTCTCAGCAGCAATGGAGGAGTCTTCTTCCTAGCAAAGAAAAAATTTTAACAAAGAATATGATCTACCAAAAACGTTATTTCTTGCATTGTTAGACTTGTATATGATCAATGATCATATGATCACCTAGGCTGATGTTATATTCATTAGCATAACCATGAACATTTATTAAGCATTCACTATGTGCCAGACACTGCTAGGCATTCCATATCTGTTCTTTCATTTAATCTTCCCAATAGCCCTATTGGCCATTCATTTCCCAGTTTGATAGATGAAGAAACTAAAGCTTAACAAAATAAAATACTAATAAAGTCAGAGTACACAGCAAAAATTTATAGCCAGATTTGTTCAGCTCTAAAATCTATGCTTCTTTTGCCTTCCTAGGCAGCCTATCTCACAAAGATCTAATTCTTCCAGTAGTACAGGTCATCACAAGACACCCTTTTCTTCTATAGGGCAGTGTCTCAGAGATAGCAGTTACAAGCCCTGCCCTGGTCCATTCTCCTTTATGTACCTCCACTCTCCTTGGCACCTTGGCTAGAGAAAAGGAAATTGCTATTACTAGAGATCTTGTAACTTGTGCCATAGATTTTTTTAAATGACTATGCGATGCAAGGGAATACGTGTGTTTGCACACAGCCCTGGCTTGTGGCTGAAAAAATCAATGACAAAATGTGTCTTTGAGTGATGGAGACTGAAGAAATAGCATCATCCCCAAGATTGCTAACATTTTTTGCTTACTTACATTGTTCTAAGCACTTTTGTTTATTGGTCGATTTAATCTCCACAACAAGTCTGTGAAACAGTTACCACTAGTCTCTTCCATTTTTCATATGAAGGCCAGGAAGAAAAGTAACTTTATCATGAGATTGTAGATATTCAGAACCCTGATAGTCTGGCTCACTGTGCCTGCTACCTCATCCTAGGATCTATGGACTCCTGAAGGAGGTTTTATTCCAGACCCTCGTAGGGTACAGCTTACTACCTGAATGTGATTTTAAGATTTTGTAAGAAAGAAAGTATTAGGGGCAAGTAGATGTGTAATATTTTGAATCTAAAATGCAAACAAACACATCCTAATTTCAGCCACGTTAAACAGTAGTAGGTCTTTAACCTATATTCTACTAGTTTAAAAGTCCTGGGCTACTTATAGATGCAGGTTAGTGAAATTATCAATTACTGATTGAGTCTAAGAACTGATTCAAATATAGTGGGCCAGCAGATGGCATGGAAGTTAAAGTGCAGGATCTCACATGGCCAACTGCATGGTTCCAGTCTCAGACCTGGCAGCTTGAAAATCATGCCAGGCACCTGTGCATGCATGCCCAAAATCCCAAGAGAAGAGTAAAGGAGAAGGGGTTGTGATGTGGCTATCTCCCTGGGGAGCAACTTCTCTCTCTCTCTCTCTCTCCCCCATACATGCACACACACAAGCTCTCTCCATCTTTTTCTCAGCTGTGGGCACCCGAATTTTGCTTCAATTTCATTATAAAATTCTGATTATGTGCTCATAGATCTCCAGTAACCCCTTTCCTGTTAATGCAGATGATGAGGAAAGGAGTCCAAGAGCACAGTGCCTAATACGATATACTATAATATGATACAGGGCTGTGTTTGCTGGGCAACTGAGGCTCTAATTAGCATATCTTTTCTTTCTTCTTTACAACACTTTCTGACTCAGAACTTTCACATATGCCCTAAATATTTTTCTTATAAGTAGGAATTACCTAAGTTAATGCCTTGATATTTCCTTTAGAATGCTTTCTCTTCTCTGCATATATTTAGGCATAGAGCCAGAGAATTCCTTATGTGCAAGGTTTTATATGATGTCCAGCTGCCCCTTTGGCAGTACAGCATAATGGCTAAAAGCACAGATTCTTGGGACCACAGATGGCATAATGGTTAACATCACTGGACTCCTATGTAGTCAACCAGGTTTCTTATCTAGGACCTGGTTGCTTAAAACTTACACAGAGACTGTGTGCATGCATGCCCAAAATCCCCAGAGGAGAATGGAGAAAAAGGGACTGTTGTGAAGCACGGACTGTTGTGTGGCCACCCACCCCACCACCAGCAGGTGATTTCTCACTTCCTGTCTCTCTGGCCAGCACACAAGCCCTAGAGTAAAAATCTCTCTCTCAAAAGCAAACAAACAAATAAACAAAACAAAACAAACAAAAAAGAAACAAAACACACACACACACACACACACACACAAACACCCACACAGAGGCAGATTGCCCAGGTATAAATCACATATCTGCCACTTACTGGCTGGTGACCTTGGGCAATTCATATGATGCTGTAAGCATTCAATTATATATCTATATACATATACAAAGAATCCTCAAAAAGTTTACAAGAAATGCATATTATTAAAAAAAAATGCATAGGGACCATGAGTTAGTTTAATGGCTATGTCGCTGAACTCCCATGTAGTTGACCATGGTTTGAGTCCCGGACCCAGTGGCTTAAATTCATGCTGGGTACATGTGCATGCATGCCCAAGATTCCAAGGAGAATGGAGGAGAAGGGATTGCGGCGTGGCCATCCCCCCTGGGGGTGATTTCTTGCTTTCTGTCTCTCTGTCTTTCTGGCGAGTGTATGTGCCCTGTAAGCAAAAACCTCTCCAAAACAAAAAAAAAATGCATAGATTTCAGATTTTTGCACCAAAATAAAATCATACCATAATTTCATTTGCCACAAACTTTTTGAAGTTTCCACATGTGTATACCTGTATGTGTGTGTGTACGTGCATGCATGCACATGTGTATCTGTCTTAGGACAGTTTCTGGGTCATGATAAGTACTGTGTGAATATTAGCTAGTATTTTTTTCTTTATCAATGTTATAAGCTTGAAAACCTCCGTGTAAAATTAATTTACCTAGGATGAGGAATTGGCATGCCTAAGTTTCTTTTGTGTGGTGAATTAGAAGACAGCCTAGCATGAATCAGTAAATAGCTGTGGAGCCTTGTAACCATTATTTCTGACCTTTATCTATGAGCTGCAAATAGCTACAAAAATTACTAATGAGTTTCTCCTATTTTTTTTCTTTCAAACAGCTATAGGTTAGTAAAGGGACAGTGACATAGACAGGTGGAGAAGGGGGGCAGCTGTTAGGCAATGAGAATATAGAAGGGATGGCCCTCTCCCCTACATAAATCATGGGTGGAAATTTTCCCCTCATCACTGAAACCTGACATTGGAGCATTTCTTTTTACCTCCTTCCTCATACCAGATCAGAAGCCTTGATGGCAGAAGAGTCCAAACCCAAGCCAGCATGGAGCCAGAGCTACTTTTTTCCTGAGAAGAAATTCTCTTTCATGGTCTTGGGCTCTGAGAAGCAACACCTCAGCCCCCCAGGCTTCCATGAACCCAAGATAGTAGGGTCTGCTGCTACATTCTTCAAGCTCTTGGGTGCCACTGGTTCCGTTTTTTCCCCATTTAATTCTACAACCATGGAGAAGGCTGGGGCTACTGGGGATATGCCAGAAGTGGAAAAATGGTATTTCTTCTGGGCCTAAGGCCTGCCATAGAGCAGGAAATCTTAGAAGAACTCATAAGCAATGTGGAGGACCGTGACAAGTTTCTGGCCATTGTGCTAATGCAAGCCTCCAACATGGACCATGTCTCTGGTCATATGGGTGACCTCTTTACTGTGGGAGAGCTGTAGTAGGAGGGCCATTTCAAGCAGGAGTGGCATAAAGAAAGAAGATATGGTGGGACCAGCTGTTGGCATAATGGCTATGTTGCTGGACTCCCATGTAGTCAACCACAGTTCGAGTCCCGGACCCGGTGGCTTAAACTCACGCCAGGTGCGTGCATGCCCAAGATCCCAAGAGGAGAATGGAGAAGGGATTGCATCATGGCCATCCCCCATGGGGGATGATTTCTCACTTTCTGTCTCTCTGTCTCTCTCTGGCGAGCACACGCACCCTATAGCAAAAACCTCTCAAAAAAGAAGAAAGAAAGAAAGAAAGAAAGAAAGAAAGAAAGAAAGAAAGAAAGAAAGAAAGAAAGAAAGAAAGAAAGAAGACGTGGTGACAGTGTTCAGGAAAGGCCCAGCGTACCTTTGTAAGCAAGCAGATTAGATAGAGTCCTTTTGGGTAGGGATCTGGGATTGAGTAGAAAGGAGGTTAACAGGCTTGGAAGATAATATCTAAGGTCTCAGATACTTCCCTACCACTTAGCCCCTACTTTGGAAGCCATATATTAGAGCCATGAACCACAAGAAAGCACAGATGATCAGAAACCCAGAACTTTCAGGACCTGCCAGATTTCCGAATTTTAATCAGTTATTCATGACCAAATTGAATTATCTCTAAATAAATGTCCATAGCTGCTGAAGTAAGAGACATGGAATGGAAATATTCTTCAGATCTCTTAAAGTTTTCCTTTACTTGGTTTCTAGATAGCCTTTATGTAACCTGCTTACATTTGAACAGTCCCTTCTGGTTTTGTTTTTGTTTTTGTTTTTTGTTCAAGTCCTTGGTGAGGCAGAATCCCATTTTATAGATAGAGAAATTAAGCAAAAAGGTCAGTAACCTCACAACAAAGGTGTTTAAATGGTCATTCTTTGTTTCCACAGACAAGAGTTTCTGCATTTCTCACCTCCTCCGGAGGTCCCAGGGATTCCTACCTCTTACTCAGCTTATTACAATATTTCTGTGGCCAAGGCAGAGCTGCTGAACAAATTGAAAAATCAACCTGAGATGGCAGAGATTGGCCTGGGAGAGGAGGATGTTGACCATGAACTGGCTCAAAAAAAGGTGAATTTTTTTTGGTATGCCCTAGAGATTTTCAGCATTTAGCGTGAATGTGTCTAGAAAGTGACTGGCACTACACTCTCTAGATTGTCTTGCATCTCTGTATTTTCAGTATGGAAATCAAACAGGTTCCAAGAGTGTTTCACAGATCCAACTCCAGTCTCATTTTCATCCAGTCAATAGTAATAGTACTAGTAATCATCATCCCTTATCTTTACAATAAGCCTACAAGGTATATAGTACTATGCCTTTTTTACCAGTTGAGGGGATACATTTGCCTAGGAATTAGACTAAATGGTAGATACAAAATTGAAGTCAAGACTGTCTGAATTTTTTTCTTTATTTCTTTATTTTATTATTATTATTCATACATTAAATCGCTATACATTATTTAGATTGTGAAGAGACTTTACTCAGCATGATATACACCTCAGTCCAGCCCAGTTGAGACCACCATACACATCTTTGTCAACAGATAATGAATCTTGTCTGTGTCCCACAAGTATCTTACCTCTCCATTTCCACCCCCCAAATTTCCTACACTCTTCCCCTCCTACACTCTCTTTCCACTTTGTTTCTAGTGTCCATTACAATTTTTAATACTTTTATGTTTTCCAGTCTTTCAGTCTCTACCATAGAGTGCGGACAGTCGGTATATGTTAAGTGGAAACATGCAATGTGTATCTCTTTCATAGCCTGACTTGCTTCACTCAGCAACAAACCTTCCATATTCATCCACTTTCCATCAGTGTGGAACCATAAAAGACTGTCTAAATTTCTACCCTACCCTATTATCTCTGTATTAAACCAGCCTTGTAAGTAACTCACTACTCAGGATACATCAGAGTTTCTGCCAGTGAACTCTAACCAATGGTAGTGTCATTGATTTTTATTCTCTGGGTGACTTTATGGGAGAGAGAACAAACTAAGGAAAATAAGGAGAAATTATATTGTTTGCAAACTTTAGTATTTATTTGCAAAGATGATCAGTTATTTCTTAAAAATACAAAATAGATAAATGGAGATGATGAAGTTGTTCCAAAGCCTCCTTTTCTTCCTTTAAGTACCACTAGCCTGGTTTTCTAGTCAAATTCTTGGAATCACTTTGCTTTCCCTGCACTTACCCATTTTATTTCATAAGCAAATATTATTGCCATGGCAACCTTAAAGGGCCAATTACCTACTTTATGGGCATCTGAATGCAAGGTAAATTACTCTTCTGCCTGTATTTCTTTGAGGACATGACCTATAGAAAAGTACAGGACCATTTGCAAGAGCCCTCCCTCCAATTTCCCATCTGGAGCAAAATGTCAGGGAAAGAATTAGAAGCATAGTGGTGTCAAAGCTGTAGTGATCCAATGCCTATTTCCTTGGATCCCTTATCCCCTGGGCATGACAGGGCTGCTCCTAACTAACTCAGAGCCTGGCCTCTACAGGATCAAATATAATATAAGTCTGATCAAGAAAAGAGAAAGATGATCAGGAATGGCAAAGCACAAAACAAAGAGTGATTTGAAGTGATTGTGGATGGCCTAAGATCATTTTTGTCTATGAGGAAGAAAGGTAAGGAAGGTCAACAATTTTGCAACATCACAGCACAGCAAAACACAAATCAGCTCTGGTTGGATTTGTGATGACTTCACAGCTCTATTACTACACTTTTCACAGGGTTGAGATTCAGGTTGTAGAGCCCAGGTGACAAGAAACAAAGGGCTCTCTCCACTTTTATTCTTCCATTCATCCCTAGAGCCTGAAAGCTGGAGTGAGAGATGATTTTTTTCAAATGGATCATATGGTTCTTAACAATCCCTTGTCCCTAGACAGTGAGTTTTGTTTATAATAGTAGAGGATGGGAATATAACTGGGAGCCTTTTGGCATCTAATTGTGTTGCTTCATTCATATCACTGATCCCCAACTCTCAATGGTTTTTGGAATTTTCTCAAATTAAAACCTGTTATACTTGGGACCAGCAGTTGGCATAATGGCTATGTTGCTGGACTTCCATGTAGTCCATGGTTGGAGTCTCAGAACCAGTGGCTTAAACTCATGCCAGGCACATGTGCATGTGTGCCCAAGATCCCGAGAGGAGAATGGAGGAGAAGGGTTGTGGTATGGCCATCCTTCCTGGAAAGTGATCTCTCGCTTTCTGTCTCTCTCTGTCTTTCTGGCGAGCACACGTGCCCTATAGCAAAAAACAAACAAACAAACAAAAAACAAAATAAAACAAACAAACAAACAAAAACTCTCAAAAAAAAAAAAAACCTATTATACTTTAAGACCTGACTTATCGACAGCTCTAAAATGTGACAATAGACAGGCCCTGGATCCTAGAGGAGGCTCTCTTAGTCTTGGTTACCTTGATAATCTCTAAATAAACTAGTAAGAAACATATTCTAGAAAACTACAAGCCTATGGTTCCAGAGTGTGTGGACCAAAATTATAATAAACATCACTGAAGCATAGTACTGGATGTAAAGGCTGTGTGCTACCTGAGATGGCTCCATTCTTGTTGGAACCTTGCAGCTAGCTGCTCAGATGGTTTAAAATACCTTACAGTAATATAATAATAGTAACAATAATAGTTATCAGTAAACATACATTGAGCACATACTGTGCCAGACAAAATACTATTTCAGTTCTTTGATCTAATTTAAATATCACAATAACACTGGGGTAGAGGTAGGGTCCGGGGATGTTTCTTCACTTTACAGATAAGGAAAGAGACATCTTAGTATGATTTGATATCTTGCTGAAGGTCACACATTTTAGAGGGGATAGAATTGAATCCAGGTTATCTCTGACTCCATGACTCCACTCTACCACATTACCATTCTGAAAGTATAACCCCAGAACTTGTTACACCTATAGGAGAGACAAATCAGAAGACACAGGCAGTAATTCCCTTGAGAAATTTACAGTCAATAGTAGGCAAGGGATTAGACTCAAATGCATGAAACAGAAAGTGAACAACTTCCAATTATACTATAGGACTCAAATCCTAAGAGAGCTCAGGACCTGAGAGCTCAGAAAAGAAAGAGATCATTTAGAGAAGACCTATGGGGAGAATTTCCTGTAGGTAGGGTGGTCACAAAGCTGAAATGGTCCAAGTGAAGAAAGAGATAAAGAGCAAGGGAGTTGTATAAACAACTCAGGAGTACAAGAAAAGCATTGGGAACACAGAAGAGTGAGGAGCTAATTTTTTTTTTTTAGAGGTTTTCGCTATAGGACGCGTGTGCTCACCAGACAGAGAGAGACATAGAGACAGAAAGCGAGAAATCACCCCCCAGGGGGGATGGTCATGCCACAATCCCTTCTCCTCCATTCTCCTCTCGGGATCTTGGGCACGCACGCACACGCGCCCAGCGTGAGTTTTAAGCCACCGGGTCTGGGACACGAACCACGGTCAACTATGTGGGAATCCAGTGACATAGCCATTATGCTAACTGCTGGTTCCCAGGAGCTAATCTTTAAAGATTCTGAGGAATGATAATTAGAATGGTAGGGTAGGATCTATGGCCATATTACTCTAAACAATCCTGATCTCATCTCATTTCAGAAGCTAAGCAGGATTGGGCCTAGTTAGTACTTAGATGGGAAAGTGGTAGGGTGGGGGACAGACTGAATTGTAATAATAATAATAACAGCCTAGCTTTTATCGAAAGCTTATTTTGTGCCAAGCCCTTTGTATGCACCCTCTCACAGGATCCTTATTGTGATCTAGTGCAGTGAGTACTGCAGTTATCCACATTTTACAGATAAGATAAATTTCCATAATGTCAAGTCACCCTAGTACAGTAGGAAGTGGCAGAGCCAGAAGTTAAACCGAGTCATTGTGACTCCAGAACTCACACTCCTATCCAAAAGGCCTCAAAAGCCCAAGCTGAGGGGGCACGAATCTAGCAGTGTCATGAACATTAGGGATACTTAAATGGATTGAAAGAGAATGAATGAACCAATAGGCAAATAGTTCATGACATGATTTTACAACGGAAGTATTCTAGTTCCTATTAATTAAACAGTCTCAGCAAGTATTTAAGTTGCATTTAGCAAATGAGGCTAAGCCCATGTGTACCACTTATCTAATACCAAGAAATTAGGTAGTAACATGGAGCTCCCTACCAGATGGGAAGAGAAGGTGCTGTCCCAGAAAACTGGAATTACTCACTACTTGGTCAGATTTCCTTTGTTTCCAGTGACTAGGGAAGAACTCCTCATTTGTTATAAGGATCCCAAAGCATAGACACAGGTCAGTTGCTCTTGGTCCCCATTCTCATCCTTTATCTCCTCCTGTTTAACTACCCTAGATGCAGCTTATTGAAAGTATTGGAAGAAAGCTTACTGTCCTGCGGGAGGCCCAGCGAGGGCTGCAAGAGGACATCAATGCCAATTCTGCCCTTGGGGAAGAGGTGGAGGCCAACTTAAAAGCCATGTGCAAATCCAATGAGTTTGAAAAATATCGCTTGTTTATTGGGGACCTGGATAAAGTGGTCAACCTGTTGCTGTCACTCTCTGGACGATTGGCCCGGGTGGAGAATGCTCTCAACAGCATTGATTCAGAAGCCAACCAGGAAAAGGTAAAGTAGGGGGTGTCTGGGGTATGGCTGGATGGAAATGTCATCTGTTTCTGTTTCTTCTCAGGGCTCTCTCTTTCAAGTTTGACTATCATAGAAGGCAGTACAGCATAGTGCTAAAAGAGCATAAATACAGGCTTCTAAGTACCCTGAAATTCTGGCCCTCCCCCCCTTATTAGCTGTGCAACTGTGGGCAGTTTACTTGACCTCAATCCGTCTCAATTGCTTTATCTATAAGATGGGGAGATCGTACTATTGTGGAGGTTTTGTGAGAATTAAATTAGATAATCAATGTTAATTAATTAAAACAGGACCTGGAATAGGGGAAATACTGAATCAGTGCTAAGTTTCCAATGGAATCCAACTGCTACCGGTAGCAGTAGCCATTTTGTCTAACTCTCTATAGTTAAAAAGAAAAGTCTCATTAAGTAGTTGAGATTGGGATGCTATCATTTGCAGAAGTTGGGACACTCCATGTACATTCCTGAGCCAAAATAATTCCCTTTCCCTGTATAAGTGGCTTTGTATACCACTCTGGATCCACACAGACATGTATGCATGTGTAAATACACATGGACACATACATGCACATATGGCCACTCACACAAAGATACTATATAGCACGCACTGCCACAGTGATGATTGTTCATGAGATGGAAGGTACACAGGTTCCCTTTATCAGAGCCTTCCCCAACCTCAAACCCAGTGGTGGGCCACAGCTTAAAGACTGCCTTAGAGATAGAAAGAGGTGATTACTCATCCCCCTGTCAAGAATTGCTGTTGTATTTATTCTCCTCCTACAGTAAAGACAGGATTTTGCATGGCAGTGGACTTTAAGGCAGGAAATCAAGGGTGATCAATTAGCAGAATGGAGATCTGCTTTGTGCCAGCATCCTGGTGGAGCACTGATAGGCTACCCCAATAGGCAGATGCCTGGTAATTATAGCCCTTAATTGATCCTTTGCTTCACTAGTTGGTGTTGATAGAGAAGAAGCAGCAGCTGACGGGACAATTAGCCGATGCCAAGGAGCTGAAGGAACATGTGGACCGCAGGGAGAAGTTGGTGTTTGGCATGGTCTCCCGTTACCTGCCGCAGGACCAGCTCCAAGATTACCAGCACTTTGTCAAGATGAAATCTGCTCTTATCATTGAACAGCGAGAGCTGGAGGAGAAGATCAAGCTTGGGGAAGAACAGCTCAAATGTCTTAGGGAGAGCCTACTCCTAGGCCCCAGCAATTTCTAATTCTATCAGCAGTCTGCCATAGCATAACTGCCCAGCCACAGTGGGAAGTACTTTCAAACTTCATTAGCATGTACATAGCAATGTTAGCAATGTGCCCCTTCCTTAGCAGTGGTTTCTACCAGCTAGGATATCTTCAGAAGGCCCCAAGCATCTACACTAGGGAACTGCAGCAAGGCGCAATCACACATCCATTCTCCTTCCCACAGTTTGCATGGGCAAGCACTCACTGCACACAGAACCCCCAAAGCGCCTTCATTCTTCTTTGTACTAGGATACCAAAGACATCATATCTTCACCACCTACCCACACCATAGCCACTAAGACTCAGAAAGAAGCTGCTTGTGCAGCTCTACTGTGCCCCAAGGCTCATGGTCCAGTCATTTCCCACAGAGATGGCTGCCTTGAGAGTCTCTACCTACCACCAATTAGGACCTCACCTAAACTTTGCAGTGGGCAGTGCAGAAGGAGGAATTGCACTTAAGAAAGCAAAGGTTGGGTATCCCCAATTGCTCCTCAGGAAGGAGCCAGGTTTAAACAAACTGGCTTCACCCTACATTCCCAGCAGCTAGTTGTGGGCAGAGAGGCCTTCTCTCATCCCTGTCTAGTGTAGCCTTCCTCATGTCCTAAGACTTTGGGCCTACCAACTCCTATTTCACCTAGCCCTTTCCATACTGGGGATTATAAGTACACTATGGGCCATTAATAGCTCTACTAAAACAGGATTTTGCTGGAAGGAGGGGATTCTTATTGTTATATTTTAAATGGCCTTTTGATTTTATTTATTTTTATGTTTTGATTTTTTAAATTCTTTTTTAAACTAATAAGGTGGGAAGAGGGAGGCTGTACAGGGAAGAGTTAGCCCAGATGAAAGCATTTGCTGCATATCAGCCTGATGGCTAGGTAAGGAAGTGCAAAGACATTGAATTTTTCCCACCTACCTGTAACTATCTAAGAATGAAATCCTCGTCTTGAACTCAAAGCCTTCCTATAGTGATGTGTTCCTGTGTTTCCCTGGAAGTCTGGGTGACTATAAACTTAGCATTCCTGAGCAGGTATTACTTTTATTTTCTTATTTTTTAAGCCAAAGAAATATCTTGACAATGACAAAGGTTCATCCATTCTAGGGTGAGCTCAGGAGGAGCTCCTCTAACAGTTGCTGTCTCAGCCTGTGGACTGGCTCAGGGAAACAAAACTCATGATAGCTGGCAGCTCCAGCCAGGAGCTTAGGTATACAAACAACTAAAGCCACTGCTATTGCCAAGGCCCTAACACCAGTAGCCAGTTTCTATCCTGGAGAAGCCCTCAGGTGGGTGATGGCAGCAAAGAGTTGTGACCAAACTCTGTCCTGTTACTCAGCTCAGTGCCCTGTTCCTTGTGAACTGAAGTCAATCCTTAGTATTACACAGCCCAGCCCAGTCCTGGCATCTCTTCTAGTTAATGCTGAGTTCCTGGGGAAAGGGGAGAAGGTCCTTGGAGGTTAACTGTAGCAGCAGGGATGTCTCATTCAACCAAAGAATTTACCAAGGAACTTTGCTGCTGCTACAAATACTGGCCACTAGTATCCGTTTCCTCTTCATTGTATTTAAAAACAATGGGAGAATCTTGGCCAGCAGTGTGTCCTGGGGGAGGGATGGGTAACCCTTTCTGTGGTGCCTTGCTTGGGTATGCTCTTAGTACTACTGCAGCTACCAGAAACACTAACAGTGTTCTAACAGAACACCCACCTGCCATTCTCCTCTCCAGTGGAAAATTCTGCTCTGTTCTGGAAGGCTGATGGCTTATGAAAGGTTAGGTATACCCAAGCTATGGATGAAGAAGGTGGAGGAGTGCTTTGAATAAAGGAAATAGTTTCCATGTTTTGTTGTTTTGTTTTCTTTTGTTTTCTTTTGTTTATAAAACAGGCTCTAAGACAAATAATCAGCAAGTTGATGGGGGGATGAAGGGGGATGTATTATGGGGATGAAGACAATGTGTTCCATCATTTCTAAGATTTTTTTGGCTAGTACAGCTTTTGGGGAATATTGACCTGGGGGGAAGAGGGATCACTTACCTGGTTTCCGGGTCATAATTTAAGTTTTTCTAGTCAATATTAGATTGGTTGTACCTTAAGCTTATGATTCCAAAAATACTAGTAAACTGTTATTTTTACCTTTGTCCCACATCAAATACGTTTCTAGAGTTGGAATCAGAGCACAAGGATGCACATTTTCACATGTAGGGATAGTTTCTGAAGCAAAAAAAAAATAAAAAACCCTCCAAAACTATACTAAGTAGTGAAGCTCCATAAACAGACACTGGCATCCTAGCACTCCTGCTGTGGCAATGCTATTGTGAGTAAGCATATAGCAAAGCTGCCAGTGTAACTTGAGATGCATTGGCTCTCCTTCCTCAGTTCCTAGGCTCATCCCTCCTTCAAGGCCTGCAGGGGGGTGGGGGGAGAAAGTGGGTAGCAGTATGGAACACATACCGAAAGATAGTCATTGGTCTTGACTCTTGCTTTCTCTCTTCAAATACCTACAGAGGCCCCAGTGGATTATACGTAACCACACTGGTGGATAGAGAGGAATTAATGCAAGAGTTACTACCACACATCCTCCTTTATTCCCTTTTTACCCAGGGCTCTAGATAATTGAGTCTCCTTGAGTTCCACAGCTGTAGATTCAGCCAGAAAACAGCAGTAAATTCTCAAATGGAATCCAAGAGAATGAGACACACTGAAAACTCTAGAAAGAGAGAGAGATTAGGAGAGGAAAGGAGGGTGAAAAGATCAAAACCCTCTTTTAAGGCCAGGTTTAGGTTATGTTTTCCATTTAACCTTATGTGCCAAAAAGCTGCCCAAGTGTACCAGGACCATACCCTGAACCCCAGCCTCCCTGATGGTGCTGGCTATGCCAGGAGCAGGTCCCAGATGGAAGAAATTGGGCACATTTCTGGCCACTTCCACCCATATGGAGCTTGGTCACTCCTGTCATCTTTGCCACAGGAGTTGTCTATGCCAATAATATTTCTGTAACAGCATATTATATTATTTGAAAATTAGTAGATCTTTAGAGGGGGTGGGGCAGGGGATAGTTTCTATAGATAAAGAACCAGTGTTTTTTGTACAACTATTAGGGGTCATCCATACCATGTGAAGCTATTAATTTTCTCGATCATCTTGTTTCTGCTTTTGTGTCCTCACCACTCCCTTCTCGGCTCATACTTCAATAAAAGGTGCTAAGGACAAAAAAAGTTATCTCGTGTTTTGATTCAAGTGGTGATGGAAATCTATTCTTTTTTTTTTTTTTTTTTGGAGAGGTTTTTTCTATAGGGCGCATGCGCTCGCCAGACAGAGACAGAGAAATCACCCCCAGAGGGGATGGCCACACCGTAATCCTTTCTCCTCCATTCTCCTCTTGGGATCTTGGGCACACACGCACACGTGCCTGGCGTGAGTTTTAAGCCATCAGGTCTGGGACATGAACCACGGTCGACTACATGGGAGTCCAGAGACATAGCCATTACGCTAACTGCTGGTCCCTCAGAAATCTATTCTTCTAGAAGGTAATTTGGTCACCTATACATGATCTTTTATAGATAAGCATATGACCAGGGCTCTTATGCTGGCCCCTTAGACATGGTATTGATTGGTATTGATATACCACTTATCATCCCCAGTAAAACAGCAGGACCTTTCATACCCTTTTGAGGGAAATAACTTTTAGAAATCTAATCGAAGGGCAGGCAGAATAGGGGCACTGAGTTCATGTCATGAGTTGTTTCTGTTGTTACCATAGAATTTAAATGTGGGTGTTTTCCTACTTAGAAGGACCCCAGAACCACATATTTTTTTCCTCTATAGATAATCAATGGCAACATTATAACTAGTCTAACCCAGTATTCAGAATGCAGGGAGGTCCAACAATAGGTATTACCTCAAGTGTAGACCTCAACAGTATACAGAGTATAGTTCTAGAATCATAAATTGACAAGATGATTCTAAATATCATATGGAATTACAAGTGATCCAGGATAGTCAAAATAATTTTTATAAAGAACGAAGTAGGAGGACTCACACTTCCCAATTTAAAAACTTACTGCAAAACTGCAGTGATCAAGACAGTATGGTATAGGCACAAGGATAGACATAAATAAATGCAAGCAAATAGAGACTCAAGAAAAAAAAAACTCTAACATTTATGGTCAGTTAATTTCAACAAGGTGCCAAGAAAATAAAATGAGGAAGGAATAGCATTTTAATAAATAGTGCTGAGACAGCTGAGTCTCTAAAAAAAAAAAAAGTTGAATACTTTACACCATATACAAAAATCAACTCAAAATAGAGCAAACATGGGGCCAGTAAATGGCATAGTGGTTGTGTCATTGGACTTCCACATGGCCAGTCATGGTTCAAGTCCCAGACCTGGTGGCTTGAAAATTATGCCAGGTGCATGTGTATGTGTGCCCAAAATCCTGGGAGGAGAATGGAGGAGAAGAGATTGTGGTTTGGCCATCCCTCATGGTGGGGTGATTTCTCACTTTCCCTCTTGCTGTCTCTGTCTCTCTCTCTCTGGTGAGCGCATGTGTCCTAAGGGAAAAACATCTTTTTTTATTTTGAAAGGATTTGCTATAGGGCACGTGCGCTTGCCAGAGAGACAGAGAGAGACAGAGAGATAGAAAGCGAGAAATCATCCCCCAGGGGAGATGGCTATGCTGCAATCCCTTTTCCTCCATCCTCCTCTCGGGATCTTGGGCATGCACGCACACACGCCCGGCGTGAATTTAAGCCACCAGGTTTGGGACTCGAACCATGGTCGGCTACATGAGAGTTCAGTGACATAGCCATTAAGCTAACTGCTGGTCCCCAAAATATCTTTTAAAACACTTATCATACACCTAAATGTAAGAGTTAAATTATAAAACTCTTAGAAGAAAACTTAGGGGTAAACTTTCTTGACATTGAGTTTGGCGATGTCGCACAAGCAATGAAAGGAAATATAAATAAATTGGAGTATATAAAAATTTAAAATGTCTGTGCTGCAGATGATAATATCAAGAAAGTAAAAAAAAAATCCACATAATGGGAGAAAATATATATTGAATAATGGACTTGTTTTCAAGATGTATGAAGAACTCTCATAATTTGAAAAGAAAAAGAAAAATAGCCAATTTAAAATGGGCAATGGATTGAAACAGACATTATCCAAAGAATATGTGTGTCTTAGTCTGTTTGGGCTGCTATAATATAATACCACCAAATGGATGACTTAACAAATATTTATTTCTCATGTTTCTGGCACCTGGAAGTCCAACATCAGGGAGCCAGCAGATTCAGCATCTGCAGAGGGCTCTCTTCCTAGTTTGTAGATGGTCACCTTGCTGTATCCTCACATAGTGGAGAGAGAGAGTGGGCTCTGATACTTTTCTTGAGAGGGTTTTTGCTATAGGAAATATGTATTTTCCAAAAAGAGAGAGAGAGACAGAGAGACAGAAAGCGAGAAATCACCCCTCAGGGAGGATGACTATGCCACAATCCCTTCTCCTCTATTCTCCTCTCGGGATCTTGGACACGCACACACACGCACCTGGCATAAGTTTAAGCCACCAGGTCCAGGACTTGAACTGTGGCCCACTACATGGGAGTCCAGCTACATAGCCATTATGCCAACTGCTGGTCCCTGATATCTTCTTATTATAAGGGCATTAATCCCACTATGAGGACCCACCCTTCTAATTTTATCAATACTTAATTATCTCCCAAAGGCATCCACCTCAAAATACCATCGCATTGGGGATTAATGCTTCAACATTTGAATTTGTGGAGGACATCAATGTTTAGTCTACAGCAAAAT